CTTAGTAAATTTTAATTGGCTAAAAGGTCAAATAGGTCCTTGTACCCTTTCGGATTGCTCAATTTGCCCCCCTTAACCCAAAAAAACTCCGATTGGCACCCTGAACTCGATAAAAAATATTCAAATTTCACTTTTTGCAAGTTTCAATCCGGTCACCGCCACGTCACCCGGTAGGGTGCCAACTGTGCATGTGACTTGGCAACTTAGGGGGTCAAATAAGCCCCTGAACCCGATCGAATCATTCAATTTACCCCCTCAACCCTAAAAAGTGTCAAAAAAAATTTAAGGGTTGAGGGGGGGGGGGGGGGGGGTAAATTGAACATTTCAGTCGGGTTCAGGGGCTTATTTGACCCCCTAAGTTGCCATGTCAAATGCACAGTTGGCACCCTACCGGGTGATGTGGCGGTGACCAGCTTGTGACCTGCAAAAAGTAAAATTTGAATCTTTTTATGGAGTTCAGGGTGCCAATTGGAGCTTTTTTGAGTTCGGGGGCAAATTGAACAATCCGGAAAGGTACAGGGGTCTATTTGACCCTTTAGCAATTTTAATTTGGATTTTGTAACTCTGCAGAGAGTTTTAATGTAGTTTCTGAATATGTTGATTTCAATTATTAAAACTGAATTAATTATCAATAAGGATGGTTTAACTTTAACATTGATTCACCACAAAATGATGATTTTGCAAAACAATTTGAGATGGAGATAATACTATATTGGCTTCAATCCGTTGTTTTTCCAAATGAAAACACTGCATTTTGCAACGGTTTGCTCCGAATCCGCCAAAACAACGTCATCATGTATTATAACATGTTAGAAAATAAATCATTTGTTTGCATGGGTAATTATCTATTTGTAATTCCTGTAATTCAAAATCGGATGACATTGGACATAATAATGAATGTTATTACTACGTACCATATGGTGTGATTGAAATAAAAGGAAAGTATTAAATGGTTGCATAGTTTTACACGTGTGGTGTAAAAATGGTTTGTTTATTTAGGTTGTTTTTACTTGGATTGTAATTCGTCCCAGACCATACCAGATTAAAACAGACCAGATCAGACCAGATCATATTTTATTATTACTATCATCATCATCATCATCGTCGTCGTCATCGTCGTCGTCATCATCATCATCATCATTGTTATTTTATTACGGAGTATTATTAGTATTACTAGTATTATTACTATTATTACTATTATTATTTTTAATTATAAATGAATAAAATTTAACTATTTATGGATTATAATATATATATATATATAATAAAATTTTTATGCAAAAAATATAAAAAATGAAATTTCAGACCAGACCAGACTAGATCAGACTATACTAAATCAGACCAGACCAAAGCAGACCAGACCAGCAAATTACAGTTCAAGTAAAAACATCCTTAATGTAACGTAAAATATGAGCCAGATACATGGAAACTAAATCTTCAATTTATGTAAAGATTATTCAAGGCACATACATGGAGTATGGTATAGATTTCTAAGGCATGCAAATTACTTTTTACCCTTCTTTAATTTAGGTGAATTTTAGGTGACAATTTTGCCTCCAAAACTTAGAGAAACTTTGTTACTTTATACTCCATACGTCCCAATTTGTAAGATACTTTACGGTTTACGATGTTTGACCGACGATAAAGCAATTTGATCTCTGTCAATACTCAAATTAGTTTTAGAAAATAAAATTTACATATTCAGAAACTACATTAAAATCACTACAAAACCTACAAAAAATAATTCAAATTTAATAAACTTTTGCTATATAAAATAAAAGATTAAGAGTGATTTATGTTGACCAAGTGAATAGTAAAGGGGTTTTTACCTCAATATTAATAATAAGTGGATCATTGACAAAAAAGTAACCTTTTATTCAATTTTCCAAAAATGTGAATGAAAATACTAACAATACAATTACGACTTACAATGACATTAGTACAGTGATGATTTTATAGTGACACCACCACAATGACAATTTTACAGTGAAAACACCATAGTGATTCTAGTGTCAACCACCCGCCCACAAGCTACAGTGACACCGCCACAGTGACACCGCCCCAATGACACGCCGACTCCGGCCATAGTGACACGTCGTCTCCGGCTATAGTGACACGCCGTCTCCCCATCCCTCCACTGCTTCTCACTGCACCTCAGCACCGTCCCCGGCATATCCCGCCCAAGCGCCGCCACTGACCATCACCATAGACCACTACCCCTAGCCATCACCGCCTGCCACCGGCTTGACTCCCCAGCCCCAGACACCTTCCTCCCTCCGATCCCACAGCCACCTCGCCACCCCCAAGCCCCCCTTCCACCCCCCATCCTGATGCCCAGCTCCCCCAGCTCTTCCACCCATCTCCATGGCCCCAGACTCATCTCCACGGCCCCAGTCTCATCTCCACAACCCCACAGAATCCTCCCCCCAGCCCCGCCCAGGAATGATGCACCACAGCCCCCACCCAACAGCGGCGCACCACAGCCCCTCAAGCCTCGCCCTACCTTCAACCTTGCTCCAGCTACCTCTCTACCTCTACCCCAAATTTGATCTGAAGCTCAGATCTTATAATAAGAAGGAAGAATCCAAAATCGATCTGGAATCCCTGATTTGCTGTCAAGAAAGGAGAAGAAGAAGAAGAATAAAGGGCTGGTCGGAGAGATGCAAAGGTCTGATGGCATCATCGTTGAAGAAGGTCGACGCCGAGGAGATGCAACAGAGGGGGAAACCGGCAGCTTGGAGCGTCAGAGAGAATGGCACCGGCTGTGCGAAGAGAGAAGCCTCCGTCCTCCGTCCGGTGCGAAGAGAAGCTCCGTCCTCTGTCCTGTGCGTGCGAAGATCAAGTGCAAAGAGGGAGAGAGGGTCTTCTACGGAGAAATCAAAGGACTGGGGAGAAAGTGTGGGTCACATTTTTGTCCAAATTCAAAATGGTCATATTTTTGTCTATGTAAACTCTAGGGGTAATATTCATGCCATTGTTTCAATAGTAAATGTATCTTACAATTTGGGACTAAGAGAGTATAATTTATATAATATAGTATAATAATTACGTTTAACCCTTCTTTAATTTTAGGTGAATTTTAGATGGCAATTTTATCTCCAAAACTTGTAACAAATTTGTTAATTTATATAAGGAGAACTATCAAATAAGCCCTTGAACTTTCATAAAAATTGCAAATAAGCCCTTTTATAGGAGGCTTTGTCTGGCTGTTGCCATTTGGAGCGGTTTCCGGTGGAATTTTTTGATTAATTTTTTTGAGCATCTTCTTCATTAAGTCTGTTTACCCATACCAAATTTCAGCTAAAAATTCAATCGAGAAGACAGTCAAATGATTTTTTGAAATATAATGTGCTGCCTAACTGCACAGTTATCTTTTTTTAAAAATATATTTTTTCTAAATTGCGTGCGGCGCTTATTAAAATTAAAGTGCCGCGTGAGTTTTACTCCCTCCGCTCCCAAATGAAATTCACACTTTGACTTTACACAAATTAAGGAAATAAATTTGACTTTACTGTATAGTACACTGTTGTGACACTGTTTGACACTGTTTGGCACTGTTTGGCACTGTTTGCACTGTTTTGCACTATTTTGATGTAGATAATTTGCCAAATAAGGAAGGGAGAAGAAGTGTGAAGTTTATTTTGGACCTACTCAAAAAAGAAAGTGAATATCATTTGGGACCGAAGGGAGTATTTTTAATTAATACTCTCTCCGTCCCTAAAAGGATTGCAAGTTTGACTGATACGTAAAATAATAAAGTAAAAATTGTGTTGTAGAGATTTGTGCAAAAGAGAGAAATAACAGGAACCACAAATTGATTGATTAAATGGAAAGTGACAAAGTTTTTGGGACAACCAAAAAGGGAAAGTTGGGAAAGTTATAAGGGATGAAGATAGTATTTTTTATATGATTCGTGCGTGCGAAGCACTTCCGGTTCAGCGCCGTGTAGGATTTGAAATAACGCGCACGGCGCGTCTTTAGTTTAAGGGAAAATTTTACAAATAGGACCAAATCGTACTAATTTTCCAAATCTAAGACCGAAGATTAGAGTAAGACTCAACTACACCTGCATTGACCACAATACTCTTACTTTTAGAAAATAACAGACATTAAATAGACAATAAATAGATAATAAGTAGACAAGAAACAAACAATGAAGAAAATTGCTCTTCATAGGATCCTAACTGAACCCATCTTCTCCCGACTCTCTCCCATTTGTCCTTCGCAAATCCAGATCCACGCAGTTCCGTCTTCAGGACTCCGCCTCCGAAGCTAGGTCGACGCCTCTCCTCCATCTTCCGGTCACCGCCTCTGAGTCGCCGCCTCCACCTCCAGGTCATCGTCCGCTGCACGTCTTCTTCTTCTCAATTTCTGTCCGGCACCTCCAGATCCACGTTGAGGCTAGTTTTTTGGAGAAGACGGTGGTCTAATGGGACTGGGGGGAAGGATGTAGCGGTGATGTGCGACGATTGCAGGGGGATACAGTGCCGGTGTGGGGGGCTGGGGTTGGGAATGGGGCTGCCAAGGCGGCGGTGCTCATTGCTAGGGAAGGGCAATGGTGTGCAATGGTTGGGGGCTGAATATGGTGGTGGGATGCGAGGTTGGGAGAGAGAGGTTGTGGCGGAGGAGAATTGCAGAGGGCGAGTGCAGAGGATAACGGGAAGGGTAAAAATGGAAGACAAGAATAAAGTTTCCTAAAACGGTGCTAAATAGATCCTACGCATGGAAAAACATAGCTTAATTCTACTTTTGTAAAGTTCCTTTGATTTGATCCTATGGAGAGCAATTTTCTCTTACTCCCTCCGTCCTTGAAAAATTCTTCCTACTTTCCCTTTCCATCCGTCCCAAAAAGAATTTTCCTTTCCTTGTTTGATAAAGAATTTATGGTTCCCGACAATTGTTACACGTCACTCTCCGCCACACAAAACCTACTTTCTTAATACGTGTGAAATTTGTACAACCTAAGTAAATTATGGGAGGGAGGTAGTATTTTAAGCGCCGCATGTACTATAACATCTAAATTATTTGAAATTAAAAAATTCGTTAATTTACACCCTGTAGCCTCCGGCCGCCCCGTCGCCGCCTGCCGCCAGCGAACTTCCAATTCCGTCTTCTCGCCGTTGCTGCAAGCCTCGTGGCCGGCGCCGTCAGCCGTCGAGGCTGTCGCTTCAGGCAGCTGCACGGACTGCTGCGCCGACATCTTCCTCCAATCGCCGGACGATTCAACCGGTAAGTTTTACATTTCATTTTATTTTTTTTAATTATTTTATTTTATTATCTATTTGTTCATGTTGTAAATTGTTTAACTTCTCATTATTATGTCCACCTTCTGCTGTTATAATCAAAGCTATTCTGATTCAGCGATTTAATGTGTTGGACATGAACATCCTCTGAATTTACAATTTTTTGTGTTGATAAATGTTCTGAAAGAATTTGAAGATAGTACATAAATGAGAAGTTGGGGAGGGGAGATAAAATTGATTTTAGCCAACTTTGTCCGGAGGAAATGACCAGGAAGCTGGGGAGGAGGATCTTGTTTGATTTGAAGTTTAAATGAGCTTCTGTCTCTGGGAATAAATGGATTCCAATTTGCTAGTACTGATGTACTCCCTCCTGTTCTTCAAAGACCTTCACACAGTTTAAGAAATTAAATTTTACTTTACTTTGGAGTGCCCTGTTTGGCACTGTTTAGACACTCTTTGGCACTGTATTGCACTGTTTTGGTGTAGATAACTTGCCAAATAAGGAAATAAGAAGAAGTGAGAAGTTAATTTCGGGACTTCCCGAAAAGGAAAGTGAGAAGTTGTTTGAGAACCGAGGGAGTACATGGTTTAAACTGTTTATGTTATCTTTTCAATGTTTCATACTTTCATTTTAAAAACTGTTAGAAAAAAATTGGATTTATGATGCTTCAGTACCTTAGACCAACACCTATTTTAAATTTTTAATAGACGTGTTATGTAATGGTTAAACATCATAAATAATATAATGTAATGGATAACAAAGTAACAAAGAAATTAAAAGCTAAAACTCAGTGTGTGCGCCCTATGAGAATATTTAAATAATAGTAGTACTCTTTAATGAGTTAATGGTAAGGTAGAATGGTAAATTCAACCCAAACTTCTGCTCCTTTGTAAACAAATGATACTCGGTAGTGTCTGTGCATATGAGCGGTTTGCCAATTTCCTACATATGGTGGCTCTATATGATTTGCAAAGCTTGGGACAATTTTTTGGGTTAGTTTGATTTTAATCAACTTTTTCTCAATTTAAATCAGATTTGACATATCTAATTGGAGTTTTCTGCAACAGGCTGCGATAATAGTTGACGCTAAACTCAAATTTCTAATGGGTGTTTTCTGAAAATATGTTTATCTTAATCGCTACTTATCCAAATCTTAATTGCTACTTGTCCAAATCTTTTTACCTCATGACTCTTATTTTGGACTGCTTTCTATTTTTAACTTAAATTTACGCTTCATTCTTTTAAGCTTTGATTTGGATGTGTTTGTGTTAATCTACCTACTATTAGCTCATAGGTATTATATAATTCTTGAAAAAAATCTGAATATACACATAAATTAATTACTACTTAAACTTCAACAATACTGAATGAAATGTATAAAGTTGACATGAATTAATATAGGAGTAGCACAGATTAGCTGTGCAGTTTGTTTATTTGTTTGTCTTCCTTTTATCTATTAGGGGTTGGTCGGAAAGGCGTACTTATTCCATTATTCATATGTATATGAATAAGATGTGGTTGCGGACTGCATTTTCATCTATGTAGTGCAAAAATACTAAGATGTGTGTGTGATTACTTGTGAGTGAAAAGAGCAGTGAAATCTGTGTAATGAACAGCCCTAAATTGTCAGCAGTATTAGAGCACGACACACATAAATCTGTGTTATCTGAAGAAAGTGGCTGCAGTCTTTCAATAGCTCCTCAACAATGTTTTTGGTTAATCATTATGCTATACATATTGAACATCTAAATTTTAGGAAAACATTTGCTAAAAGACAGTTTCTACAAACTTATTTCTGTAAATCAAAAGGAGCATTCGTATAAACTTGAGGAATTTAGTTTGGTTCTAAACCTGACAAACTTATTTAGGAGTTTATATCTTTGTATTTGACAGGTATGAGTTGGTTGGACAAATGAGTTCTATAAATGGTAAATCTATAAAATATATAACCATGTAACAATGAAAGGAATTTTTTCTATATGATGATCTCCAATTTTTTTGTTTGTTTATGCAATGCTTACTTTTGGAATGGAGCCAAAGATTCATTATTTTTTGGCTTGAGATTATTATGGAATAAAGCAAAATGGCTCACTAAATTGTCTGCGCTTCTTTGTTATGAAGCAGCAGTCAGTCCATGCAATTTTGGACGGGATTTTCACTAGGAGTCATCCGGAAACAGTCTCTCTGTGCTTTAGTACAGGGGTAAGACTGCGTACATCCGATCCACTCTTACCCCACCGTAGGTGGGAGCCTCTGCGGCACTGGGGTAAATGAAAATGAATGATGCAATGCTTACTTTTGGTTGCTTTATGGAGATTACACTTGCTTAGATTGGGAGCTATTTTAAAATAAGCTTTACTTAATTGTTTGACATCATCTTTGTTTTTATTTAAATGACAAGATTTGCAAATTATTAAATGCATATAGTTTGAGGCAGAAATGAAAGTAAATTTTTAAATGGGTCACTTTAGACAATTTAATAAAAACAAAAAATGATTCTATATGTTATTTTTTTATACATTAAAATAGTTATTTTGGAACATTGAATCCTAGTATTCGTACAATAGTATTAAGGAGTATCTTCAAAATACCCCATTAATATTTTTAATTTTGACATTTTTTCCGTTTCTTTGAAGCAGATATCAAGCTATGGTTTCCCCTGCGTTTTCCTTTTCATCCAAATCAGTGAAATTGGTCAACTGTCATATGCAATCTTAACTCACAGTGGCATGGCCACTTCGTGTTGTGGTGGAGGACAATGAAAATCCTGCGTAGACTGCTCGTGGTTGGCAGTGGAAGGTCAACCTCTAAGTCTGCAATCTCATTTGGGCCGTTCAATTTTGCCACCCAAACCCGATGGATGAAGCCTGCTAACACTGCTCAAACCCGACTTGAGAACCGCACCAGGGACTTGAAGCTTGACCGCCTCACTGCTAACCGTCGCCGCCTCAATCTCATTCTCAACCTCCACCGCCTGGTCTCCGCCAGAAAACGGGGTCCCTTCGTCGCCATACAGTCCCTGTCCAAGTTGGCGCCACAGGCTGGCATCAAAACTCTACCTGCGGGAGCTTTCATTAGGAAATACCCTCACATTTTTGAGGTATTTACGCACCCTGCCTATCATAACCGTTGTTTCAGGTTTACCCAGAAATTCATTGCCCTAATAAGAGAAGAAGAGGTCATGATCGCTCAACTCGAACAAGACTCTGTCACACGAATCAAAAAACTCTTGCTCATGTCTGTGAATGGCACCCTTCATTTGCATTCCCTCAGATTAATTAGAGATGAATTAGGGTTTCCCGAAAATTTCCGAGAATCAATAATCAGGAAGTATAACACTGATTTTAAAATGGTGGATCTAGAGGTTGTGGAATTGGCTGTTAAGGACTGTGAAAGACCATATATGGCGGCCAAAGTTGAAAAGTGGCGGGAAAAAGAGTATAAGGAGAAGTGGTTAAGTGAATTTGAGGTCAAATATGCATTCCCTATAAATTTCCCAACAGGATTCAAAAAAGAAGCAGGGTTTAAGGAGAAACTGAACAATTGGCAACGAATGTCATACGTAAAGCCATATGAGAAAACGAACATCGTTAATGTTCGTAGTTGTGGAGGAGTAGAGAGGTATGAAAAGAGAGCCGTGGGAATCATTCATGAACTCTTGAGTTTAACCGTAGAGAAGATGGTTCGAGTTGAACGGTTAGCTCATTTTCGGAAGGATCTAGGAATCGAAGTGAATATTCGCGAGTTGCTTTTGAACCATCCGGGGATTTTTTACATATCTACAAAGGGGGATTCTCAAATGGTTTATCTGAGAGAAGCATATAGCAGTAAAGGTTGTTTGGTTGAGCCAAACAGAATTTACAATGCAAGAAGGATGTTGTTGGAGGTACTCTTAATGGGAAGTCGAAATACTAGAGGATTGAACCTGGAAAGGGAAGTACAGGAGAAACAAACAGTGATTGTCAAAGAGAACGAAAACAAAAGTAGTATGGTAGATGGTGACTTTGTCATTCCAATTCTAGAGAAGTGTTGATTATAAATTGATTAATTGGTGAATTAGTAATCTAAAGAGGTGTTGATGTATTTAGTAAGGCCCGCTACTGTGCGGGCCCGGCCCGGCCCAGTTCTTCGGGCCCAAAACCGGTCTAAGGCCTGGTTATTTATCTAAAGCGGGACAGGCTCGGGTGGGTAAAAAGAAGGCCCGGCCCGGACCCGGTTCGGGCCATATTGATTTTTTTTTGTTTTTTCATTATTTTGGGCTCCACTCGGGTTGGGCTTGATGAATAGGAGGGGTTTGGGGGGTGAGGGGGGGTCAGGGATAGGTAGGTAAGCAAAAAAAACCAAAACTGAGGCTCGGCCCGGCTTGGACCTAGTCCACGGAGTAATAAACATTGAGCGCCTTAATTTTCAGGAAAACGTTTTCTAGAAAGACTATTTTGCTCAAACTTGCTTCTTGAAATTAAAAGGAGCCTTCAGATAATCCTGAGCAATTTAGTTTGTTTCTAAACTTCGATGAACGTATGAGAAGTAGGGATGGACTAAACCGGCCCGGCCCGGCACGGAACCGGCCCGGCCCGCTACTGTGCGGGCCCGGACCGGACCGGGACCGGTTGGCCGGTTCCGGGCTTTTAGCCTGCTTGGGCGGGCCTGGCGGGCCGGGCTCGGGCCCAGTTTTGGGCGAACCGGCCCGGGCAGTTCGGGCCGGGCCCAGGTCAATTTTTTTTCAAATTTTTTTCTTTTCCAAGGGTAGGGCTGGGTGTTTTGGGGAGGTTTGGGGGTGGGGGTGAGGGGGGGGGGGGTCAGGGGATAACAAGAAAGCAAAAAAAATAGACATTGAATCGGGGCCCGCCCGGTTAGGCCCGGACCCGGTATCAACCCGAGCCGGTTCCGGGCCCAAGGATTAGCAAAAAAAGCCCACCCGGGCCCGGCCCGGAACCGGACCGGCCCGGGTCCATCCCTAATGAGAAGATTGAACAAATTCATTTTATAAAAAGTAAATCTTCATTGCATAAACAGGTTTTGTGCCACCTGGTATTCAATGCATTTGATAAAATTGAAAGTACCGTATCATATTTGGTAATATTTGAATGTTTAAAGTTCAGTTTTACTTTATTTAAACCTAATCATTCTAATAGCAATTGTACGATTTCACTTTTTTTAATCATGTCATAAACAGGTTTTGTGCCACCTGGTATTGTGCCACCTGGTATTCAATGCATTTGATAAAATTGAAAGTACCGTATCATATTTGGTAATATTTGAATGTTTAAAGTTCAGTTTTACTTTATTTAAACCTAATCATTCTAATAGCAATTGTACGATTTCACTTTTTTTAATCATGTCATTATCAAAATAGTAATGTATGTTTTGAATTTTCAAAATAAGAGTTTCAATAACATTTTATTTTAAAGGGTTTAGGATTTATCAATTCCTTAGTACAAGAAAGGCATATGTGCAACCGATCTAGTTGAAAGTTGAAACACCAAAATACAATATACGCTACATTCGTTAAACTTTGTTGTATAAATTACTTTCATATGCATGCGAGGTTCGTGATGCACCACTATTATTTATATTGAAAAAATGTATACTTAATTTATCACCTTAAGTAAAATTGGCTACTGTGGATTTATTTCCTGATTTAGAGAATAACTATTGTTGTACTTAAGATCTGATTTTGTATTAATTACCAGTATCATGCATTTTATTCTTTCTAGAAATAGGATATTCTATTATTTAGATTAGCAGATTGTATATTTAATGCCTTAGATTGTCTTCTCAATAAGCTGTATAAATATCCTATCATTGTGAGATTGTAATATATCACAAATATTCAGATTTTCACATGGTATCAGAGCTCTAGCTATCCTAGGATTTCTGTACTCCTCTTCTGGTCGTGCCCATCTCTTATGTCTATCATGGCTCACGAAAACAACAGCTTCATCTCAGAGACAACCTCTAAAACACCCTCATCAATTCTTTTTGTCTCTTCTCAAATAAATGAAGTTGTCTCTCTCGTTACAAGCTGCAAATTCAATGGACACGAATTCTTTCAACATGAAGCCCTTCAGAAACTTCTGAATCATTCCTCCATTCATCCAACCTCTACGAATGATACTGGTATGTTGGCTATGAGAGGTAATAAATCAGTTGCTTGTTCTGTCAATAGAAGCACTAACAAATCATGGATTCTAGACTCCGGAGCTTCAGATCACATGACAAGAGATGCATCAATTTTCTGTGAGTTTCACCCGAAGAAAGGAAATCATACAGCCAAAATAACACATGGCTCATTTTCTCAAGTTGAGGTTTCCGGTTCAGTCAGAATAACTAAGGACCTCACTCTCAAATCTTTGCTTTATGTGCCCAAATTAGACTGTAATTTACTTTCAATCATTAAATTTACTAATGAACATCACTGTGTGACAAATTTTTTCTCAAATCTTTGTGTATTTCAGGATTTGAACTCAGGGAAGAGGATTGGCAGTGCTAAGATGTGTTCCGGACTATATGTTCTACGTGATGAAGTTTCATCCACCAACACAAACCAAAAGTCTAGTTTGCTTTCTTTGAATAGTTAGTTAGTTTCTTTGTCTAATAAGGATAGTGCTATCATGTTATGGCATTGTCGTCTTGGTCATCCAAATTTTGTGTATTTATCAAAAATGTTTCCTTCCTTATTTCTAAATAAGGATTCAAGTTCTTTTTGTTGTGAAACTTGTCAATTTCCTAAACACACTCGGACTAGTTATTCTAGATTAACATATAAACCATCAAAACCTTTTTCATTGATTCATAGTAATGTGTGGGGACCTTCACGCATAAACACTACTCCCTCCGTCCCGGTCATTTCTTCCAACTTTCCTTTTTGGGCCGTCCCAATTAATTCTTCCAACTTCCACTTTTGGAAAAAATATGTGGTTCACATTCATTCACCTTTTTCTTACACAACTACAACCATACATTTTCACTTTATTCCTACTACCTAAATTTGCGATACCGGTCAAAACCGGAAAAAATGACCGGGACGGAGGGAGTATAACAGGAAAAATATGGTTTGTATCTTTTATAGATGATCACACAAGATTAACTTGGGTATTTCTTATGCAAAATAAGTCAGAAGTGAGTGGAATTTTTCAGCGCTTTCATTCTATGATTCAAACTCAGTTTCATACTAGTATTCAAGTACTCAAAACTGACAATGCCAAAGAATTTATTAATTCTGTTCTTGGTACTTATTTGATAAAACACGACATCATCCATTTAAGTTCTTATGTTGACACCCCTCAGCAAAACGGATTTGCTGAACGGAAAAATCGACATCTTCTTGAAGTTGCTCGATCCCTAATGTTTGGGTCTCACGTTCCTAAAGTTTTTTGGGGGGTGCAGTTCTCACCGCTGCCTATCTCATTAATCGAATGCCATCTAAAGTGTTGAAATTTCAAAGTCCGTGTCAAACTCTTCGGGAAATATTCCCTCATACAAGGTTCATTAGCTTTGTTGATCCTAAGGTCTTTGGTTGCATTGTTTTTGTCCATCTTTATCCACAAAATCGTAGTAAGTTAGATCCTAAAGCTATCAAATGCATCTTCATAGGGTATTCATCTAATCAAAAGGGTTATAAGTGTTATTGTCCTACTACAAGAAAAACCTATAACTCTATGGATGTCACTTCTTTCGAATCACAGGCTTACTACAAATCTGAGATTCAGGGGGAGAATGGAAGTGAATCTCACCTTTGGGGCATTAATGTTTCAAACAGTGATTTGAGCGAAATTTCACCTACTGCACCTATTCTTGAACTCACCAGTCCACAACCTGTGACAGTTTGAGAACGTCAAGATGTCATAGAAAACCAAGTCCCCAGTTCATCTCAAGCCATTGAAAACACCCCTGATCCGTTACCAATTGTTAATTCTCATCCAGAACCTAAAGAACTTCGTGTATATCAAAAAAGGAGGCATTCTGAGAAAGAACAAACACATCTACAGGACTGTCATGACTTGGAACTGAATGCAGATCCTCCAGAAATACATTCAGGTATGAGTAATTCTTGTCATGATAGTGTTACTGGTATAAATGATGATCTACATATTGCTTTGAGAAAGGGAGTTCGTGCTTGTACTAAACATCCGATTGACAATTTTGTGTCCTATAAAACATATCTCCATCCTATCAAACATTTGTTTCTACTCTTGATAGTTTACATATTCCTCACTCAATTCAAGAAGCACTGATTGGTCCGAGTTGGAAAAAGGTTGTATAAGATGAAATCAATGCTTTGGTGAAGAACGAGACTTGGCACATAACGGATTTACCGTCTGGAAAGAGACCAGTGGGATGTAAATGGGTATTCACCATTAAACATAAGGCGGATGGTAGCATTGAGAGGTTTAAAGCTCGGCTTGTTGCCATGGGATTCAACCAGTCCTACGGGATCGATTATCAAGAGACTTTTTCTCCAGTTGCTAAGCTCAATACCATTCGCGTTCTACTATCCATTGCTGCAAATAGAGACTGGCCGTTGCACCAACTAGATGTGAAGAACGCTTTTTTGAATGGTGAACTGGAAGAAGAAGTGTACATGGATATTCCACCAGGCTTTGAGAGTTCATCCAACCGAAACAAAGTATGCAGACTAAAGAAATCTCTATATGGCCTAAAGCAATCTCCACGAGCATGGTTTGGAAAATTCACTAAATCAATCACTAAAAATGGTTATATTCAGTGTCAGGCAGATCACACCTTGTTTGTGAAACACTCACAAGATCAAAGGATAGTTGTCTTGATAGTTTATGTTGATGATATAATACTTACAGGTGATTTCAAGGAAGAACTGAAAAGCTTAAAAGGTTTCTTATCAAGGGAAATTGAGATAAAAGATCTCGGTTATCTTAAATATTTTCTTGGCATGGAAATTGCACGATCAAGACATGGCATTTTTGTTTCTCAAAGAAAGTATGTTCTAGACTTACTCAAGGAAACTGGAATGCTTGGTTGTAAACCAACCTCGACTCCAATGGATTCTAACAAAAAGATTGGCTCGGACATGGCCAGAGCACCTGTGGACAGGGGAGATATCA